TGATTTTACTAAATTAACTACAAACGTTATAGATGGATGCCTCAACTCCTCTGATTTTACTAAATTAACTACAAACGTTATAGATGGATGCCTCAACTCCTGTGATTTGTCGTGACCTAATCTCTCCTTAAGTATCCAAGTTTTTAACTCCTCTACCAGAGCATTCATAGACCATACCCGTTTGTATATTTGTCTTCCTGAAGTTGTTTGGTGTGAACTAAGGCTTAAAGCTGATAAATTATACAAACAGTTTGAGAGTGTTTCAGGAACTAGAAGGATGTAGATAAAATAATGAAGACATGGATTATCATGCAAATAGACGGATAAGATAGATGAGTAGGCAGACTCAGACGGATAAGATAGATGAGTAGGCAGACACAGACGGATAAGATAGATGAGTAGGCAGATCAAGACGGATAAGATAGATGAGTAGGCAGACACAGACGGATAAGATAGATGAGTAGGCAGACACAGACGGATAAGATAGATGAGTAGGCAGACACAGACGGATAAGATAGATGAGTAGGCAGACTCAGTGAATTAACTTGTATTTATAGTCATTAAATGAAGAATAAAATGTGATTTTCCTTCTTGTTATGAAATAAAACGACTTATGAAAAATGTTTAAAGAAATTAATTTAAATCGACAGGAATGAAACAACACCTTACCTGGGGAAGGCTGCAGATGAAACTAATCACCCAAGCTAAGGTTAACATGATCTTGCTTCTTCGATGGGCGTCGGTCACTTTCAGAGGATGGAGAATAGCGTAGTAGCGGTCAACACTTATACAAACTAACACCATGGACGAAAGGTACGGTCCGAAAGCCCGTATAACCAGCGATATCTTGCACAAGACATTTCCCCCCACCCACTCGACAGTGATCCTCCAGAATATCTCCAGCGGAATCATGAAGAAGGTGACGATCATGTCTGCTATGGTAAGGTGGAGGATCATCAACTTGATCCGGGACTTGCGCTGCCTGTTTCTAAAGAGACTGACAAACACGGGCAGATTTCCTCCTGCAGCAATCATGAACAAACACGTGTATAATATTACCTCCCTTAAAGAGTTGTTGTTAAACGTCAGACCGTAAGGTATCTCTACTGTTACGTTCGTTTCATTATTGAACAAGACTTCCGATAAATTCTCCATTTCTGCCTCTTCGATTTTCCGGGTAAATAAAATCACGTTATAAGTTACATGCCCAGTCAAAGAAATGAGCGACTCGCTAAAACTTAGTCGCAAGATGTTGTCCTCATTTAAAATGTGGACAACATATCCATAACACGCATGATACTAATCTACTCTACGAGTGTCGCTCCAGGGTTCTACCTGACACAACTGGATTCCAAAGTTTATATACTTGTTTGGAACCCAGCGCACGCGCTTCAGAAATAAAGAGGGCGCCCCATGTACTATTAACTCTCATCCAAGAGTAACCGAGAAGAAATGTTAATATCATCAAATAAAGAGGGCGCCCCATGTTCGGACTGTCATCTCAGTCTTCTTCCGTTAGGAGCGAACTTTTAATGTCATCGTTTTTCAGATTTGACTTTTTTTTTTTTCGTAAATTATTCGGTTTTAATGCTATGTTTTTATCTTTGGTTTCTTTTACATTTAAGTATTTATCATCTATTCATGCAAAAAAAACAGTATCGATACACACACACACGTGTATACAAGACCGTTATTTACTCAAACATCCTTGTTTGTATACATTCTGAAAGATTGAAAGGTAAATCTGCGGGCTGCTAACGCTAAAAATCGGGCTTCGATACCTGCAGTGAACACGGATCGCCCCCTCCCCTTTGTGTAGCTTTGTGTTTAACAACAAACCTTTTTCTTACACTTTGTTTACGAAACGTTAAAACAAAAACACAACAGCTAAAATTAATTGTCGCAACAAAAGGCGTTGAATATTGTTTGCTGATGCCTTTACTGGCGAAACCAAGGTCGTAATAAAGGATGTACATGTACTCTTGTTTTTCCTCAATTCTGTAAGTTATATTTAATTTAATTTTTGTTACACGATCTCTTCATTAAGACATTGAATATTAAAGGAAGCAGTAAACAACACCCAATTCACCTTGTAAATGAAACAACCCATTCAGTTCGGAGTTAGAGAGAAAATAAAAACTTCTACAAGAATATGAAACGATAAACTTTATACAAGACTTTCTTTTACAAATGTTATTACTACAGTTGTGATGTATTTTATGGCTATTTTATTTTTTCCTTATTCACTAACACTTTATTTGCAGCCTCCCAGTGGCACAGCGGTTATGGCTGCGGACTTACAACGCTAGAATCCGTGTTTCAATACCCGTGGTGGGCAGAGCACAGATAGCCCATAGTGTAGCTTTGGACTTAACATCAAACATATAATGGTATCATTTATTGACTGTCTACCTTCTTGGGTGCAATAAAAACTCAGAGATTAAAAGAAAAAACGTCTGCATAATATATCTATATATATATTATAAATTAATTAAGCTATCAATTACCAAATATTTGGGATTTACAAGATAAGTTTAGAAGAATGGAACTCGTTTCATTGTGATTGTAGCCATGTCGGGTCTTTCATCAATTATCATACACACACAATATTCTAAAGTAAAATAGTAGAACCCAACTTTTAAAGGATTTTGATAAACTACACCTCCACGCTATTCCAAAGCTCAAGGTGTTAATGGCTTTATATATTTTACCTGCCATCTTTTGAAAATTACAGTGAATTTGACGCATTTCTCAGAGATACGTGGCAACTAATTCTGAGAGTTCATTATCAAAAGTTCGTGGGTACAGTACCAGACAACTAGTCTTTACCAGATAACCTATAAACAATATTGTGAAGAATACAATATCCACCATCTCAACAACATGATTCCTAGATATAGTAACCATGGGCGTCAGGATAGTAACTGGACACAGTACCAGACAACTAGCCTTTACCAATGGTTACTATATCTAGGAATCATGTTGTTGAGATGGTGGGTATTGTATTCTCCAGGTGGTCACCACGTGGGGTAGTCTATCCTCCACAACCTTGTTTATAGGTTATCTTATAGGTTATCTGGTAAAGACTAGTTGTCTGGTACTGTGTCCAGTTACTATCCTGACGTCCATGGTTACTATATCTTGGAATCATGTTGTTGAGATGGTGGGTAGTCTATCCTCCACAATATTGTTTATAAGTTATTTGGTAAAGACTAGTTGTCTGGTACTGTGTCCAGTTACTATCCTGAAGTCCTGGTAAAGACTAGTTGTCTGGTACTGTGTCCAGTTACTATCCTGACGTCCATGGTTACTATACCTAGGAATCATGTTGTTGAGATGGTGGGTAATGTATTCTTCACAATATTGTTTACAGGTTATCTGGTAAAGACTAGTTGTCTGGTACTGTGTCCAGTTACTATCCTGACGTCCATGGTTACTATACCTAGGAATCATGTTGTTGAGATGGTGGGTATTGTATTCTTCACAATATTGTTTATAGGTTATCTGGTAAAGACTAGTTGTCTGGTACTGTGTCCAGTTACTATCCTGAAGTCCATGGTTACTATATCTAGGAATCATGTTGTTGAGATGGTGGGTATTATATTCTTCACAATATTGCGGTAACCTATAAACAAGGTTGTGAAGAATACAATACCCACCATCTCAACAACATGATTCTTAGGTATAGTAACCATGGGCGTCAGGAAAGTAACTGGACACAGTACCAGACAACTAGTCTTTAATTTTTAACTGCTTACATTGTTAATATTTC